CCCCAAACTAAATATATATTCAAGTAAATTTTCTCTTCCCAAATCCCAAATACACTCATCAGCATCCCAACATAATCAGACAAAAGGTGAACTGTAATGGAAGGGAAGATCCAGTGGAAATAAACAATGCTTTTAACCAGCTGTGATTAAAGTATCTTAACACTGTAGATTTTAAAAACATGACACCAAGTGAACACACTCTCAGGGGCCCCTCCCGTGGCCATGGAAGTGCACGGCCTGACACCCCAGTTTCATTAGTTTCAAGGTAAATCTGCCTTGGAACTGACTATGCTTTTCTAAATTATACATGGCCTTCCCCTGCCCTCCTACCACTCTATTCTAACACACTTCAGCAGAGCGCCCTAGGAGCTGAGAATCATTAGTCTTGGATGGCTTTCAGGCCTCTGAGATAGAGTACTGTTTTGCGTGATGCTTTGGATGATGGTACCATTCTTACAGAGAGAGATACCAGGAGGAGAAAACTTAATAGGGAGGATATAAAGTCAACTCTGAGCAATCTGAACACTTTCCATGTAAAGGTAAGTTCACTGGGACAACTGTGCAGGATGTTATAGATCCATTCTGTACTGAATACCATCTTCCTTTGGAGAGGGCCCCAGGGAAGGAACAAACAATAAAACCATGGATTCATCAGGAGTCAGTCCAATACTAACACTGATAGTTTGCCATGGGTCAAGTGCCACATGAGCTAATTGGCCTGAATTATTGTATATAATTCTTACTACGACAAGGAAAGGCAAGTTCTCTCACTATCCCCATTTTACAGAGGAGGAAACTTAGGCTAAGAGATTTTAGTGACTTGGCCAAATTCATACTACTAATAACTATTGTTGCCAGGCAGTCTCACACCAAATCCACACTCTCTCTATATTTTGATCAATAAGATGGCTCAAAAATGGATGCAAGATCTAGTTTCCTATTCTAGGATAACTCTGTCTTGGAGATTGGGTCACCTCAGGGTGAACGGGGAGGAGCTGCAGTGGCCTGGCCCGGGCTCAGTTCTGTTATCAGAGTCCTCTGGTCAGAGGCCTGGTATGAGACGAAGTGGGTAGGATGACCAGAAGAAACATCAGGTCTTAGGAATGCTCTATTTGCTTCAGGGCCAAGTCAGAATAATTAGTTCCTTGGAAACATCTGGATTCTGCTCCAGAGCAAGTGTTCACTTCTATCTTCCCCACAATATTTAACTATAGAGCTGTATTGTCCAAGATGGTAGCCACCAGCTAGTAAGCATTTGAAACGTGGCTAGTCCAAATTGAGATGGGTTTAAGTGTAAAATACACACCAGATTTCAAAGAATTAGTATGAAAAATAGAAGAAAAAGTCTCCTTAATATTTTTATATTAGATTATTGTCGAAATAATATTTTTATTATAGTGGGTTAAAATATTATGAAACTAGGTTTTGTTTCTTTCTTTTAAATGTGGCTACCAGACAAATTTAAATTACCTATGTGGTGTTTATTATATTTCTGAGGAACTGCATGAGTAGATAGAAGATAATTATACTGACTCACTGATCAGAAACTAAGTAGCTGTGTCCTTATCACCTTATCATCCCCAAGCCTCAATAATAATGGCACCTACCTTGAAGTGCTATGACAGGAATGTGTTTGAAAATAAATGAAGAGTGCTCAGCAACAGCGCTTGGCATGTTGTAAACGCTTGCTGTCAACATTATTGTTACCACTGTGCCCTAAATCCCTCTTCTTTTCTGAAATCCTCTAATGACGTAATCCTGTCTTGTACTGGACGTGCTCATCTCTGGCATGGATTTCAGCCACAAAATTACCTTCTACATTTCCCTCAGGCATAGAAGAAATGATACCTAGAGCTTTGCCTAGGGGAAGTAATAGAATATTCAATCTTTCCGCCATGAGAGCACTGTGTACATGTGTACAGAAAAGAAAGTTTGAAATAATGAGTTGTAAGTAACCTTTGATTTCTGTGTTACACTTTTATCAGACATGGACAGTTCATGAATTTTCATTGTTGAATTATCAGTCAGCAGTTTAGTTTCTGCAGTATGTGTTGCCATCTTTGCCTAATCAGCTATGTTTGGGCAAATAATGGAATATATTATTGCCATTGTCAGTCTTACTTTAAATAAATGAAATATTAAAAATTATAATATTAATGTCAAAATAAAATATGGGTTTCATAAACTAAATAAAATCAAGACAAGGACCTTTTTCTTAAAGTGGTCAATTTTTAGATTCAAATGAATGTTTATTAGACCTAAGCCAGTCAATCATGTGAACAATTGTGAGGAAATGGAACAAAATGAAAGAAGAGGGACAAAACTGAGAAAACATATTGTTGAAGACTGTACCTAAATGTTAGGTAAAAGTAGACATTTTTATAATAACTTTTAGCTCTCTGTGAATGAAATATTCATCCTTTCTAGAGAAGGGTGATGATATTTGTTTTTGAGGAAAAGTAAAAGACATCCTTCATCTATGCAAATATGTTTGCAGGAGATATTCAATGTTAGGTTCAACTGTAAGTATGTAAACCCAATAAGTTGACCCGCCAAAGGCCATTCACAAGAAATTTGAAGGAAAGTTAGAGAATCAACTCCCTTTGCTTGTGTTGATTCCTCCCATGTCTAATTCTTAGAGTTGATGTGAAAATCAAGCAAATAGGTAGACTTGTAAATATTGAAGGAAAAAAGGAATATAGATGTGCATGGTGCTATTACTGTAAGCCCTAACTGTGATTGTATTTGGAGTGTCTTAATTAGGTTTCCTGGCTGCTGCAATTTGACCCAACCTGAGCTAAGTGAGGTGGTGCCAGTGGCAGTTCAGATGACTCAAAGAACTAGGAACTCAGGAGTTGTCAGAAATCCAAACATTGCAGATCTGTTCACCTCATCTCTGTTTTTCTCTGCACTTTGGCTCCATTCTGCTCATTTTTATCCACCAGATCTCTTGATTTCTCCTACATAGTGTCTAACATGGGGGCTCCCAGCCCCTGTCATCAGGTAACCTCAGTTTCTATAACTCAATTCCAGTTTTTGAACAGAAAATTTTTGATTAGTTCAAATTGGTCCAATGGCCTCTGGACCAATCAACCATCTTTTAAGGTGAGGCTCTCTTCCTCGCCCAAATTTTAGTCCACAGAGGACAGTATACAATAAGACATACTGGCATTCAAGCTTTAAACCTAAGATAAGGTTAGAGAAGACCAGGATATCTCAGAATAGAGAGCATTCTAGAGTTTCTTTGTCCATATTGTGGCCATGAGCCACACGTGGTTAACTGAGCTCTTGAAATGGGCTACTCTGATGTGAGATGTGCTGTATGAGTAAGATGCAGACATTCCAAAGACAGCATGAGAAACAAAAAAGAATGTAAAATATCTCATAAATATTTTTACATTGATTTTATGTTGAATAATAATATTTTGGATATATTGGGTTAAATAAATTATGTATATATTTTTTTGAGGAAGATTAGACCTGAGCTAACTGCTTGCCAATCCTCCACTTTTTGCTGAGGAAGACTGGTCCTGAGCTAACATCCATGCCCGTCTTCCTCTACTTATACGTGGGACGCCTACCACAGCATGGCTTTTGCCAAGTGGTGCCATGTCCGCACCCTGGATCTGAACCGGTGAACCCTGGGCCGCCAAGAAGTGGAACGTGTGAACTTAATTGCTGCCCCACCGGGCCGGCCCCAATATATTGAGTTAAATAAATTATATTATTAAAATTTATTTCACCCGTTTCTTTTTTCCTTATTTATTGTGGCTATGGACAGAACTGTTCTAGAGATGGTTAATTCCCTCTTGCATAGATCCCTTCAATAACCAAGCATGTTTAATGTGCACTTTATGGAATGCTGGCCCCCAAAGAATTTAAAATTTCATAGGTTGCTATTTCCAACAGCAACAAAGAAGATAAAATATCTGGGAATAAAAGTAATAAATGCGAAGCTGTATTTGGAGAAAATTTAAAACATTTTCCACAGGTACAAAATATTTGAGCAAATGGAAAAACGTAAAATGTTCTCAAATAGGAAAACTCTTCTCAGATTAATTTATAAATTTAGCACAATCCCAGTAAAACTAACAATAGGATGTTGAGGTTTTTTCATGTGTAATCGAAAGGTGAAGGGGGAGAATCTTAAAGTACATGTGGAAAAACAAAATGATCAAACAAGCAATAGAATAACCAGGGAAAAGAAGGATAATCTTCTGAAAAAGAAGTGTAATGAGAAGGAATTAGCTCTATCAGCTGTTAAAGTCATCTTATAACATCTCAGTTTATTAAACATTTCAGTCGTTATTTGAGTGACCTACCGTGACCTACTGTAGCTCAGTATTTTCCTTAGCATTGAAGATAGCGCCGTGAGCAATACTTAAAGCAATGTGATCCCACCTTAGGAATGGCCAGAAAGAGCAAAGGAACAAACTAGAAAACAAAGAATTAGTCCACTTATGCATGGAATTTAGCCTCTGATAAGCGTGGCATCTCAAATAGGGGTTGGGTGGAGAGGGGAGGCAGAAATGGAAGAGTTTATAAACGGTCGTGGGGGAAAAAAATTATCCATATATTAAGCATTACACCAAAATCAGACGGCTCCATTATTATAAATGTAAAATTAACGACACAAAATTACTGGAAGAAACCACGGGAGAATTGTCTTTCTTTCTTCTGGGTTGTGTTGCACTCTCAAAGAAGGGAAGGAGTTTCTATTCATGATCATAAAGAAAATGAAGATTAAAATATCTCAATTCAGTTGGGAGGGGAGGAGCAGGGCGGGACAGGGCGGGATAAACTCCGTGGTTACTACTACTAATACGGGAATTAACTCAGGGTAGATTCCTCATTGTGGCAATGGGCGAAAAACAGCGCTGCAGGTCTCCAGAAGCCCGTCCCTGTAAGTTGTCTCCAGAAAACGTGTCCATCAAAATAAAAACAGGATGCTGGACTTTATCCAGGAGAAACGCCGTGAATATGAAAGAATCCACAGATGATACTGTTAATGAAAACTACAGCCCTTTATTGGAGACATCACCCCCACCCACATACACATTTCCAATAGTTTCCCAATACTTTTTTTTCTCCTTCGCGTAGAAACATTTGAACTGCGCAAAAATGTGTTTAAAGCATCTTCGATTTTTAAATGAAGTCTATCTAAAATGAGGATCGGTGACCGGCCTGCCAGGACAAAATGGCCGACAAAAAGTTATTTTTGATGCTCCCAAATCCATCCATCACACCTTTGTCGAAAGTTACACGAAACGAGGAACAGAAACATCCCTGGTCCAGCCATGCCCTGGGTGGGAGGGTCGTTGCGGCCGCTGTAGTTGTTTTTCAAACGCGTTCCCTTGTTGCCACGGCAAACTGGAGATTAACAGAAGAATGCGGGGCAAAGGCGCCTGCACCCATCCTCCTCCAAGGGATAGATGCTACCAACGCCCCCAGGAGACCCTATCTTGACTTTCGAAAACACGGAAAGTGTCTCAAATGCCAGATACATTTTCATATTCGGCGAAAAGAGCAAACTAAACCCAACAGAAGCAAAACAAACAGAACAAACAGCAGGCCGACCACTATCCAATTAAATGCAGTATTAAAATCATGGGCTGAAGGGGAGGGCCAACCCGAGAGTAGGGCGGGACTTTTGAATAACTTTTCAGCCCAATCCGGATACTCCGGAAGACCAAGTAACTGGCTAGTGTCATTTGTCGTTTTTGCTGTTGAAAGGCGTGAGGCGGGGCTGGTAATCTGAAATACACCAGCTGCCCGCGGACGTCTCCAAACAGCTGACCAGGACGCTGACCAAGAGCACCGAAGGGCAAAGGACAAGCCAGAAGGGTGGGTCCCGGCCAAACACCCTTACAGCAACCACCCTTCCGAACTCCTCACCCGTCTCCAACTCCAAACCACTCCCGCGCAAGCTTACTTTAGGAGAGTTTAAAGGGAACAAAAAAACAAGTAGGGAAAGAATGTTCAGCTCTTTTTTTTGAGACCTGTGGTGGCTCTGAAAAGAGCCTTTTGGGGTTGTAGAAGCAGACGTTCGACCTACTTCTTCTTGGGTGCAGCCTTCTTGGGCTTGGCAACCTTAGGCTTGGCAGCCTTGGGCTTCACAGCCTTAGGTGCGCTCTTGGCGGCCTTCTTGGGCTTGGCAGTCTTGGCTTTCTTTGGACTCTTAGCCACTTTCTTGGTCACAGCAGCTGCCGCCGGCTTCTTCGCCTTCTTCGGGGTCTTCTTAGCGCTCTTCTTCGGGGTGGCCGCTCCCGTGGCCTTCTTGGGCTTCTTAGCCGCTCCCGCAGGCTTCTTAGGCTTGGCCGCGCCCGTCTTCTTAGCTTTGGGCTTAGCTTCGCCGCTCGCCGCCTTCTTGTTGAGCTTGAAAGAGCCCGAGGCGCCGGTGCCCTTGGTCTGCACCAGGGTACCCTTGCTCACCAGGCTCTTAAGTCCCAACTTGATGCGACTGTTGTTTTTCTCCACGTCGTAGCCAGCAGCCGCCAACGCCTTCTTGAGCGCAGCGAGAGACACGCCGCTGCGTTCCTTGGACGCGGCGACAGCTTTGGTGATGAGCTCGGACACCGGGGGCCCGGACGCCTTGCGGCGCGCCCCCGCAGGCTTCTTGGTTGCCTTCTTCTTCACCGGGGCCTTCTCCGCAGGAGGGGCGGCGGCAGGAGCGGCGGGAGCAGTCTCTGACATGCTGAACACCTAAGGTTCGGGTACCAGTGACAAAGCACCGATGGAGCTGCGCCTGGGCCCGGCCGCCGTATATATAGAGCGCAGGCGCGCGCTGATTGGTGCTCCGGTCGCCCGCCTGGCTGGCAGGCTCTGAACCTCCGCGGTGCGCCTAAGTTGTGTTTGTTCCACTGCACAAAAGGGGCAAAATATTAAAATGCCCCTCACTAAATCACCCAGGCTTGGTCGGGAAAGGATCCGAGAAGCCTCAGGCTTCGTGCCCTCCATTTATTTTTTCTGCAACCCCAAAGACAACGCGTCCAGGCGTCCCCAACTCCCCCAACTCCGAGGGAAGTCCAGGGCAGTCGGAGACCACTTTCTGTTTTTCTTCTAAATTACCTGTTCGCTCCTTTGCCCCTGAAAGTTCTTTTTCTCACGGGTGGTTAGGCACATCCTTCCCTTCTTTTCGGGACAAAAACGAAATGGTTTCCACCTACATTTTCACGATAATTCTGTTTCTTCGCAAGGGAAGTAACACAGGTCCTGTGTGAATTCTGCGTACAGACCCACAGGAACTGTGGACTGGGACAAGGATTCCCGGGCCAGTCCAAAGCAGTTAGGGCGGGATGGGAGAGGGTTCCGAAGCCTTGGGGGGGTCCTGGAGGATGGGGGGGTTAGAGACTTAAATCTTTGATTTGAAAACACTGAAACTCTTTGACAAATCCCTCTTTTCATAGATGGGGGCGGGGCACTCTTTTCACTTCTCCAAAGGCGAGAAATTGGGCTGTTTTTAAAAAGCTCTCAGGTTCCCTTCTGAGTTGTGCAAGGCAGGGGGTCTGGGATAATAAGAATAGGGATAATAAGGGAGGAAGGAAGACCCCCTAAGCCTGCAAAGGACCCCCAATAGACTTGGCAGCCAGAGACATTGAGATGACCTGTTTTCAAAGAAAACACGTATTTATTTATTTATTTACTTTTGTAGGCTGCGATAAAGAGATGCATTTCAGCACATGAAAATTCTAGGTTGCTTCCAGTAACGACATCTAAACCATATCATGATATAGAAGGCCACTCTCTAACTGGGAGCTCAAAGATATAGACAGAAATAAAGCAGCTGACTTTAATAAGATACACTTTTGCCTTATAAGATGAATTATAGATTTGAAATAGAAAAACTTATATGGCAAAATTTTAAACAGAAGTAGAGGAAAAGTACTAGAACATATAAACTATTATACCACTTTTTGTTGATGTGCTCACTGTTAGCCCCTCTGAATTGGCCGTATGCATTCTATTCTAAAGTTTGCGTTACTGTAAGGCTTGCTACTTCATGTTACATCCTTTGCTTCCAAGCATTGCTTTTTTTTTTTTTTTGAGAGAAAAGGCTAAGTAAAATTTCTGCTTATATATTTAATATAATTATACATTTGTATTTAGGGACAAAAGAATTATTACAAGTTGCCATGAATTTCCATTCAAATATACATCTACATAAAAATATGTATTAAAGATGCCAGCCTTAGATTGTAACAGTCAAAAGGGGTTATGCAAAATAAGTTCAGTGATGAATGAAAAATGAGGCATCTTTTTTAGACTAAGGATTGCCCCATGGTTTCATTGAATAACATTCGCTCAACATTTGTAAACTGTGTCTACTACTGATCACGTCCTCGGGGAATTAACAGCCTAATAAGATTAGTGATAGATGAATTAGCAGCCACAGAAAACTGCTGTAAACTTGCCATCTGTCAGTGTGAACTGGCTACAGGAATTGTCAGAAAGTATTGAAAGTGTGTGAAAAACTAAAGCACCTTCATCATACTAGTATATTTTGGTAAAAAAATAAAACAAGAACTTGCCACTTTGTTCTGATTCTATGTATGATGAGCCCGCTCCTGATCTGAAACCCAGTTAAGAGTGTGTAACCACGAGGAAAATAGCTGTGTGGAGTCTTGAGTACTAGGTCACTGGACCTCCCTTCACAAGAAATTGGTGTCCTGATTTATAAATCAGCAACATGTAAATTTGATTACTGTGATTCGGTTCTCTAATGGGATCACTCAGGTTGACTCAATCAAATCGCATCTCTCTACAAGCAAATCTAAAGTCCAGATCTCAAATCATTAAGACACCAGTCCCCTAGCCTTGTTCCCAACCTCCTGGCCACATGGTGGAGGCCAGAAGGCAGAGAAACAAGTAACCCTTCTCCAGATCTCTGTGACTTGTGTTGAGAAAAGTTATCCAAAACTTAAAAGCAAGGCGAAAATATTTCTTCATGTCTTTCCAAGCTGTATTAGAAAATTGTCTACGTCCACTTGTGAGTCATCTGATACTCTAGGACCGTACTGTGCAATAAAATAGAATGTGAGCCGTGTACGATATTTTAAGTTTTCTAGTAGTCACATTGAAAAAAGTAAAAAGAAACAGGTGAATTTAATTTTAATAATATTTTTAACTCAATATATCCAAACAATTATCACTTTAACATGGAATCAATATTTAAAAAAAATAAGGTAGTTTATATTCTTTTTTTCAAACGGTAAGCCTTCAAAGTTTGGTATGTATTTTACACTTGCAGAACGTTTCAGTTCAGACTGGCCCCATTCCAGGTGCTCAGTGATGACATGTGTCCAATAGCTATCACACTGGACAGCATGGCTATTGCAAAGGTCACTTTGACTTAATACTTATATTTGATTAGGCCCAGAGTATGTAAAGTTAGACTTTCACTTGTAGAAGATTGATACATTAATAAGGATTTTGTCCAGTAGAGATGCAAATGAATTCTTTCCAGTAGAAAAGATAATCCTAAAAGTTATGGTTGTATTGGCTAATAGGACATCAATCAATTTTGCATCTGATTTACAGCCTTCCAGCATTCTTTCTTTCACTGACTTTCCATTCTCCTGTATCCTGCTTTGACCTAACTTTGTTATCATGCTTGCTCCCTCCTTAATGACTTAAATCTTCCTTGACCCATGCATCAGCTCACTGTGTACAGTACTTGTATGAAAGTCATGTTTTTTTGTGGGGTTTTTTTTAGTTGAGGAATATTAGCCATGAACTAACATCGGTGCCAATCTTCCTCTATTTGTTTTTATGTGTGGGATGCCTCTATAGCATGGCTGATGAGTGGCGTAGGTCCACACCCAGGATCTGAACCAGGAAACCCCAGGCTGCCAGAGCAGAGAGGGCAGAACTTTAACTGCTCGGCCACGGGGCCAGCCCCAAGAGTCACGTTTTTAAATTTTGGGGAAAATTTTACTGACACTGTTTATTCATTTTGTCTTAAGGGCTCTGAATCAGAATCTTTAGAAACCATTCTAAAAATTGGAAGATAGAAAACTTTTTGACCATCAACTATAAAGAGACCTCAGATCCAGTAGATGTCCCTTAGATTCTCAGGCTTTGAAATAAGATTGAATAAGCCCGTGAGCAACAAAAGGCCGGTTAAAATTAGGTCCAAGGGAAAATTTAGATTATCAGTGTGGTCTTCCCACTTAAAATTGATGGCCTCAAAATAGCCATCAATTAAATTGAGGAAAGTGGCTGGCTCAGGGGCTGGCATAGTGGTTAAGTTCACACACTCTGCTTTGGTGGCTTGGGTTTGCAGGTCTGGATCCGGGTGTGGACCTACACACTGCTCATCAAGCCATGCTGTGACAGGCATCCCACATACAAAATAGAGGAAGATAGGCACAGATGTTAGCTCAGGGCCAGTCTTCTGCAGCAAAAAAAAAAATTGAGGACAGCTAAATATTGCAATGCAATAAATTGTGTATTCTTCTATTTACACATATCCTGAATATTACGGTTGGCTGTTTCTGTTTCATGTTCTTCAGGTCTGGAAAGCTGGTGGGCAAAGTTAAATATGCAGACCAGAATCTCAAGTCCAAGTGGAGCTGGAGAGAGAGAGACTGGAACAGCAAGACACACTCAAAGGAGAGTGAGAGGAGTTATTGGGACGGGTGTATGGATCAGGGGCTGACAGTTGATTTTTCTTTCACTTCCTCCTTCTACCATGCCAGAATAGGGTTCTGTTTGCTTTTGGAGGTAGTTAACCTAATATTAATAAACCTTGTTGCAGGCCCTAACGGGGAGTGATTAAAACTTTCCTTTTCCTGACTCACCAGGGGACGAGGCTAATAATAGCAGCCACTCCACTGGAGTGCCTGCTCAAATAGAATAAGTGCTGGGGCTTTGGTCCACTAGGAGACTGACAATATAGGGCAGCCTGAGAAAACATATGCAGGATAGAATTTCAAGAGATTAGCAGCGTAAATGAGATTGCAGGCCCTCCAGTCTGTTTTCTTGCTTCAGCTTCACAAACCAGTTTTACAAATAACCCAGAGCAACTTTTCTGTTCTTTTTTCAATCTTTGCAGGTAAATGGCCAGCAATTAGGCAATTAGATTTGAGACAGAATATTTCCCCCACTAGCCTATGGGCATCTCAAGAGCTGAGACCAAAGTTTCTGTATCTTTATTCCCTGACACACCCTCAAAATACATTGGAGAAACCAACAGAGAATAGTAGTAAAGCGCATAGTAAGGAGCTTAATAAATACATAGAGAGTATTACAAATGGAACAGTACATTGCAAAACATATTTACTTCACATTCTGGGGTTGCTTTTAGAACCATGTAAGTGACTCAGGAAACTAGATCCTTAATAGCCACCTTATCCTTCAAGCTTGTTTTCAAATGACTTTAAACTATTTCAAAAGTCAAACCTACCCCCAAAAGGATTTATCAATAGTGAGAATATATATACATTTTTGCAGCTTCCTAGTCTAGGCCTCTAACGAAGGCAGTTGTAAAGCACAAGATGTAAATATGGATTAGCCAATAGCCTTACTCAGAATAAGTATATAGCCTTACACGATGACTATTTTGGAGGAAACGTGGGCATACAAGTCTCAATAGATTTATTAGACATATATTGCTTTTTCATTCCTAGTCCATCACTATGCCATGCATGAGCTTTTCACACCTACTGAGTACTTGTTAGGCGAAAGATACCAGATGAGATAAAAACAAAGATCAGCCAAGCAAAGTGTCTCCTCTCAAAGAATGATA